AGGGCAGGCGTTTCTGCTCCTTCTAGAGCATCTGAGCCCGGCTCCCTCGAGGAAGCCCTACCCACAGGTGGACAGGGAACCTGAGCTGAGCCCACCCACATGGGGCCACACACCGGCTGCTGCTTCTCCCGGGGCCCCAGGGCCACCAAGGGCAGAGTGGTCACCCTGGGTGGCAGCAGTCATGTTACCTGGGCCAGGAGCACAGAGGCCACCAGGCTCAGCTGCCGTGTGCTCTGGACATGGTCACAGGACAGGCTCAGGCTGTCACAGGGCGACATCTCTCTCAGGATGGCAGCACAGAGCAGCTGCAGTGGCTCGGGGCACATGGGCCGGCAAAGGGTGGTCTGCAGCAGGTCCACACAGGTCTTCTCCAGCCTGTGACAGCCAGACACAGCAGGCATTGGCATGTCACACCACTGCAAGGGCACCCGGCTCCCAGAGCTCCCTCAGGCCCCAGAGAGGTGGCGCGGGTCCCTTGGGCAGGTAGATAGAACTTCACAGTTGAGCCCCTTCAGCACTGGATCACGTGGACAGACTCAACCGCCAAGGTGCGTTCCCACCTGCCAGGGCCCAGAGTGCCCACTCACTTCCTGGCATACTTCGTGGCCGAGACGATCAGGAAGAGCCTGCGCAGCGCGTCGACGGCATCGGGCCCCCAGGCCTCCTTTTGCAGCAGCGAGCTGACCCGGGAGCAGAACCTCCGCAGCTCCTCGTCCTGGATCTCCCTAAAGCAAGCAGAGCTGTCAGCAAGCTGGTGTCGAGGCCTCGTGGCGGGACCCAGATGCTGCGCCGAGCTGCGACCGAACGACCCCCGGACGCAGGGAGGAGAGAGAGACCCGGATGTCCGGGAAGAAGGAAGTGCCACCATCCACATGGCCCTCCTGACAAACTGGCCGGCTGGTGCCCAACCTAGTTCCTCTCTCCCGGACTCAGCAGTCCATGGGCCACTGTCCCCTGCTGGACAGGGCTGTCGGGGACACCATCGCCCCCATTTACGAAGACAACACACCTTACTAGCAGAGACTCCACACAACCCGATTCTGTTCTTCCAGGAGCAGAAGAACCAAGACCAACTGAGTTCAGGGAGATCAAATAAGTTGCTTTTCAACAGGTTCCTTCACTGAGCCTTTACCTTCAGGAATAAGCGTTAAGTCTGGCGTGTTAACGGGCGGGTACTGGGATACACTGTAAGGCGAGCCTGTTGGAGCTCCTCACGCCAATACTTTTCCTGCTTACTAATTAAAAATAGGTATGTATTGAGCAAGTAAGGTACTGCACAGTCTCAACATGGAAACCTGTCTGTAGGTGCCTATTCCAGTCCCAAAAGCAAGAAAAAGTAACATGCCAACAAGTCAGTGTTAGAACTTCCGGGGGCTCTCAGTGCGGTGCCCTCCCCAAGCCATGGCTGAAGTCCTCTCGATCCACTTTGGACTGACCAGATGTCTGAGTTCAGGAACCTCGAGCTGAGAGACAGGGTGTCCCCAGCCTCTGAGGCTGACAAGGTTTGACAGACACCTGCAGGTGGGGCCCTAGCGCAGGTCCTTGAACCCCGTTCTTCCTGAAGGCCGGCAGACGGAAGTCCCCACGGATTCCCCTCCACTCGCCTCCCCCCACGTGCTCCCTCCAGGGGCCTGGTACAGGTCTGTTCTAACCGGGGTAGCGAGAATGAGGGAGACACTACCGGACTGCTTCGCAATGATAATGGAGAATCTTTCCCAGGAGGGTGCCACTCCTCATGCCACATTAATCTCTCCCAATAGTCTCCGAATCACAGGATTCCTTCTAAAAGGCCAGCCTGCTCAAACCCTCCCACAGCTCCCCAAACTCCTCCAGACGCCAACACGGCTTACAAGGCCAGGGCCCCGCCTGACTTCTCAGGAGCCATCAAGGCCGTTTCTCTTGCTCCTGACCCTCTACCCGAAGCACTTACGCTGAGCTTTTGGCCTCCCCTGACCTTGCTGCATTCCCCCCCCATCCCTCCCCATCTGAATCTCACTTTCTTCACCTCTTAAGAGATATTTCAGATAACTTTCCCACCCTTGCTTTCCACCTCTGAAAAATCTGCAAACTAAAATTCACTCAGAATCCAAACTCCCAAACCTCAGCAATACAAAATGCTACCAAACNGGATCTCCCTAAAGCAAGCAGAGCTGTCAGCAAGCTGGTGTCGAGGCCTCGTGGCGGGACCCAGATGCTGCGCCGAGCTGCGACCGAACGACCCCCGGACGCAGGGAGGAGAGAGAGACCCGGATGTCCGGGAAGAAGGAAGTGCCACCATCCACATGGCCCTCCTGACAAACTGGCCGGCTGGTGCCCAACCTAGTTCCTCTCTCCCGGACTCAGCAGTCCATGGGCCACTGTCCCCTGCTGGACAGGGCTGTCGGGGACACCATCGCCCCCATTTACGAAGACAACACACCTTACTAGCAGAGACTCCACACAACCCGATTCTGTTCTTCCAGGAGCAGAAGAACCAAGACCAACTGAGTTCAGGGAGATCAAATAAGTTGCTTTTCAACAGGTTCCTTCACTGAGCCTTTACCTTCAGGAATAAGCGTTAAGTCTGGCGTGTTAACGGGCGGGTACTGGGATACACTGTAAGGCGAGCCTGTTGGAGCTCCTCACGCCAATACTTTTCCTGCTTACTAATTAAAAATAGGTATGTATTGAGCAAGTAAGGTACTGCACAGTCTCAACATGGAAACCTGTCTGTAGGTGCCTATTCCAGTCCCAAAAGCAAGAAAAAGTAACATGCCAACAAGTCAGTGTTAGAACTTCCGGGGGCTCTCAGTGCGGTGCCCTCCCCAAGCCATGGCTGAAGTCCTCTCGATCCACTTTGGACTGACCAGATGTCTGAGTTCAGGAACCTCGAGCTGAGAGACAGGGTGTCCCCAGCCTCTGAGGCTGACAAGGTTTGACAGACACCTGTAGGTGGGGCCCTAGCGCAGGTCCTTGAACCCCGTTCTTCCTGAAGGCCGGCAGACGGAAGTCCCCACGGATTCCCCTCCACTCGCCTCCCCCCACGTGCTCCCTCCAGGGGCCTGGTACAGGTCTGTTCTAACCGGGGTAGCGAGAATGAGGGAGACACTACCGGACTGCTTCGCAATGATAATGGAGAATCTTTCCCAGGAGGGTGCCACTCCTCATGCCACATTAATCTCTCCCAATAGTCTCCGAATCACAGGATTCCTTCTAAAAGGCCAGCCTGCTCAAACCCTCCCACAGCTCCCCAAACTCCTCCAGACGCCAACACGGCTTACAAGGCCAGGGCCCCGCCTGACTTCTCAGGAGCCATCAAGGCCGTTTCTCTTGCTCCTGACCCTCTACCCGAAGCACTTACGCTGAGCTTTTGGCCTCCCCTGACCTTGCTGCATTCCCCCCCCATCCCTCCCCATCTGAATCTCACTTTCTTCACCTCTTAAGAGATATTTCAGATAACTTTCCCACCCTTGCTTTCCACCTCTGAAAAATCTGCAAACTAAAATTCACTCAGAATCCAAACTCCCAAACCTCAGCAATACAAAATGCTACCAAACTCCCACAAACTTAATTAAAGTAAAATCTAGAATGAAAGCCAGTAAGACCGAACTTACAGTTATTAACTTTCCCCAAGTCCTGGCCAAGAGAAACTGTTTAACTCATACATTTTACTTATGAATATTTAAGTATCTGCTACCCTCAAGCCAGCCACCCACCCAAGACAGAGACAGAATTCAAATAGTGAGGGCCAGCCCTGGCTGGCGTGGCTTCAGGGCTGGAGCACCGGCCTGTGCACCAGAGGGTCGCGAGTTCGATTCCCGGTCAAGGACACGTACCTCGGTTGCAGGACCACGCCCCTTCTCCCACCTCCCTTCCACTCTCTCTAAAAAAAAAAATCAATGGAAAAAACATCCTCGGGTGAGGCTTAACAAAAATAAATAAGTAAATAAATAGTGAGGGCTGTTCCTTCTGCCTTTTGTTCCACAAACTTATGACCTTAAGTAGAAAGTGAGAGGGGAGAGGAAACCCAGTTGCCGTCTGAGTGGGTCTCGGTTCTCACGTGTCTGTCGGCAAGACCTCTGGGGTGAGCGTGGCACACGCAGAGTAAAATGCTAGTGTGGACGAAAAGGGGCCACGTGCTAACCTGATGAACGCAGAGAAGGCCTGCGTGGCGGCCTTGCAAACGCAGACACCTAAAGTAACCACAAAAGACGGCCTGAAATTAAAGCTTTTTTAACTAAAAAGCAGTTTATGGTGGGCAGTCATATCCTAGGCTGGTATCTTCCCTGACAAAAGTCAGTCTTGACCTTAATTGAGCCTGTCTGTCGTCTTTTCGCATCTACAACAACATATTGTTGGAAAGTCAAAATAATTTACCTTTTCCCAGACCCCTCAAAGCACAGGCACAGCTCTGCAGAAACCACAGGTCCCCTTGTTACCATGTTAACTGTTGACTGTTAACCACCCTGCACCCACCTAAGTAAAAGAGGCGTGCCTATCATCCTTTTCCTTCCTACCCAGCCCCAGAGGCTCCCCACCTTGCTTTCCCCGCCTCCCTCAGGTACCCCCAGTGGACTTCAGGGAACCCACTTCCGCCTCCTTCTTTGACTGTGATGCATGAAACAGGGCGCAAAGCTGCCCTTCCCCGGGGCATCGTGAGGTTCTACTTCCTGGCAGGGCGCCCACGATTTGGCTCAAACAAACTCACAGATATTCTTCAGGGTTTGAATGTTTCTCACGTTGACTCTGGTGTTTAAACATGATGTTTCCGTTTGGCACAGCCCTGCACTCAGGAGGGGGACCAGGTGCTGGAGCGAGGACGCTGCACTCAACTGTGGGAACGTGTCCCGCGCTGAAGGACAGGCTCTGCTGGGCTCACGGGTGACGGAGCTGCCCCCCCGGGGAGCTGCCCGCGGGCCAAGGCTGCTGCCCGCGGGGGTCCGACCCTCCTCGGCCTTCAGCGCCCCGCCTGCGTCCAGCTCCCCGCTGGGCTCGCGGCGGCCCCGGCCACCCGCGTCTTTCCCACCGGGGCCCAGCTCAGAACCCAGCCTCCTTCCTTTTTACAGTCGG